CATCTTTATCAACATTTCTGAAATGTAATATCATGTTTGTAATCAGTAAATTCTTTTCATAGAATATTTGAATATATTAAAGAAGTAATCAAGAACATACCTTTTGTATTGATCAATTTCTTTCTCCAATTGTGGATATTCATTTAATAAATTTGCAAGATGTTCTTTGCTGTAAATTGTATACATTCTAAAGACAAATTTCATTACATCATGTTTTAAAGGTGATTTTAAAATTTCCAATTTCTCTTTTACTTTTAATAATGTTGGCAATAATATCTCTAAACCATGCCTTTTCATTCCTTCTATAATTACAGTTATTGCATTAGTAGTTGATACATCTGATGGATTCATAAAGTCTTCTTGATCTTGAGTATTTATAGGATGTTTATTAGAGGATAGAAATGGTTGTAAACGTTCATTATTAAGTATATATAATGTATCTTTTAGAACACATGCACCTTTTTGACTTGTAACATTAATTGTACCATTAGAAACTCTACCAAGTACTTGCGTAGTTAATTTTACAAGTAATTTTATTTTTTCAGGAGGATCTAAATGTTCTATCATAAAATTATAAATAATTGCTCTATTATCATGATTCTTATTTCCTGGAAATGTTAAGATTTCTTTTTCTTCCTTTCGCATTTTACGATCACATAATTTGTGCTTGAATTGATAATCATTATAATGATATATGCTTTCCAAAAACTTTTGTGATATCAGTACTTTATTCTTTTTTAAAAGTCTTTCTTCGATTAAAAAAATAGTTAACTCCCGTATCATTTTATCTGGATCAAATAGCATTGTTAATATATGGAAAAAGAATGGTCCTTTTACTTTTATAAAATCTTCTAACAATAACTGTATAAATATTACAACAACAGCTTCTCTTACTATAGAACTACGATCTTTCATACAAATACACATGTCTGATAAATAAGGTTCAACTAATGTAGTGAACCTAATACAGAGATCTGCTAAAGCTTTAGCAGCATTCACCTTAATAGCTATTTCTGTGCTTGAATTATGATTTATATCCATACGCAAGAGTCTACCTAAAATTGGTATTACCTCTTGTGCTATCTCATGATCTCTTATTGCATGTTGTCCAAGCACAACCACAGCAAAAGCTTGTAATTCTTTTACTTCCTTTATTGAATCTGGTAATAATTCCGATTCAAGTAATAAGCCTTCCAAAATACGTAAAGTAGATGATGAAAGCTTATTAGTACATGAAAATGCAACATGTCCTAACGTAGACATAGCTTTTATATAATTTGACGTATCTATCATCGTTTTATTGTTAGTTTTAAGCATTTTTTGTATTTTTACTTCTGATATTTCCATTAATTTCATTGTGTTAGATTGCACTAAACGATTATTATCAATAGGATATAATTGTTTCATTATTCCACCAATGATATCAAGACAAATACTAATTAAACCAAAATGAATTTTGAAATCACAAAGGCATTGATAAAGATATTCATACAAATCCTTCATATCATTTTTATTTAATGACGACCAAGAATTTCTCAATATTTGTAAAATTAAATTTGAATGATAGTTATTTTTTTGTATAACATCTTTATAATCGCCAATATGTTTATCCAAATTTGGTAATTTCATGCTTTCAGATATTGCCGTTAAAAGAACCCATGCAGATGTATCATTCTCTGATCCAATATGTGATTGTATATCTGTGATTAAAGAGTTGTTTATGAGATTATTTTTAATCCATATTTTACAAGCTCTTGATAAATGTTTCATCATTTTCATGTCAGTTAATTTACCCACGATTCTCCATGGTAAACTGTTTTTTGCATTATCAGTATAATTGGAATGATTTGTTATCTTACTTATTAGTAAGTCTTGGAAGGATTCTAGTGCTTTTTCTTGTACTTTAATTTCAGTATCAAATATTTGTGGTAATACTGTTTCTACCCATTCATTAAGGATTTGTGAATCACTAGGAAAATATTCTAAAATAACAGATAATATATGTATTGCAAAACGACGTACTGTCATTACAGGGTCTCTGCAACGACGACCAACTATAGGAGCAACTTGACATGTCAGTATGGGAAATTTAATAGTCAAATTTTTTAAAATCTGTAATGCACTTCGTCTTACTAATGCTCTTTCATCTTCTACTCGGTCTATTAACATAACGAGTACTGTATTTAATCTTGGCATCAGATTAACATCTCTTATTAATATTGTTTTTAATTCATCGAATACAGGAAGTGTCTCATTAGAGGACGATACTTCAGATGTATCTTCTACGAGCATTTCAATGATATTATTTTGTGTATCTGTAAATTCTGCAATTGTTGCCATAGCTCTACCTCTTACCATATTAGAAGAATCCAGACATCTACTCAATGTTGTAGCAATTAATGCTTTTTTTATCTTCTTCCACTGAGAAGATTCTATTAAACCATCATTATTTAAATTATATTCCATTAAAAGTTTTCCAATCATCTCTTGAGCAAATAGCCTACAGGATACTTTAGTATGATGCGAAAGGGATATTATATCATTAATAATATGTATAATGATATCTTCTTTGCATATTGTAATTAGTTTTAATAATACTGTAGCTTGCTTCTGACGAGCCTCTTGCCGTTCTGGACATTTAATCATAATATATTGAATTAATGTCATTATAGCAATCTTTGCTTCTTTTTCATAAGAATCTAATAATTTTCTTAAAAAATCTATTGTTAATTCATGCATATTTGCCATAAACTTTATTTGATGATCATTATGATTAAAAAGAAAACGAGGATGTATGTATTTTGCTATTATCATAATAGTTGCTTTGATAGGTCCGTGTTTATTATCACATAATTTAAATAGAGCTGTATAAGCATTACAAAATAATTTAGTTCTTGTTCTTTGATATTCAAACTGATTGACATCAGTAACTTCAAGTAATATAGAGATAGTAATATCTAATGAATGTGAATAAGTTCTAAAAGAAAATAACTTTATCATTGTGATGAAATTACACAAAATACTTTTAAGACCTTCAATCAATAAAACCTTTTCTGAAAGTGAAGTAACATGATCGCTCGATTGATCTTCATTAATATCCATATATTCTAAATTTACAGTTTTATTTCCCTTTGTAATTATTGGAATTAAGAGTTTGCATAATTTCAAAGATTCAATTGCTTTTTTATATAAGTTTGGATGAAATATATTAAAAGCATGACTTCCAGGTATAGCCAATAACATAAAATATAAATTTGTTGCGCTTAAACAAGTTTGCTTACTTGTTTTGTTAGCTTCATCACGTTGACCAGATTTTATTATATAGTATAAAACCGATAACAAAGCATGCACATTTATATTCAAACTTACTAATACATCCCAAGAAACATTTGCTTCTTTATTATTGCATTCTTCTGAAGTTTGAATTTCAGCAAGCCAATCTTTGACGACTTCACAAGTGTCTTGTAATAATAAGTCCATATCCTCGCTTTCAATGAAAAGAAAATAATCATCTTGAGGTGGTTCCTCGTAGGTTAGAAATTGTGAATCCCACACAGTATTTACCCACTTATCGTTCAGATCGTCCAATTTAAAATTGTCAAAAATTTGTAGAAACTCCATCACTAAAGTCCAATAAACTAAAATCGTTTATGTGACTATTTTATCATTTATAAGTGAAGTTAAATATGTAAAGATAACCTTAACCTATCATTTTCTGATAAAGTAAATTTGATCTTCAGGTTATCATTTTTTGAACACCTATGGATAATGAATATATGATTTTGTCCCAATTAATATCACAAAAACTGATATTTATTAAATACATGTGATATAACATTTCGTCTAAAATGTAGTTACCGCTGGAATAAACGATAACGTTCATCCAAAGGAGGGAAATCCAACAAACCAATCATAATCATGATATATGCATATATAGATTAATATATTCATATGTACTTTTTATAAATTCTCAATTTTTTAATTTCTTGGTTTTTTTTTCTTTTAATATTTCAGTGAATAAAGATTATAATTAATTAAAATTTATTGCATTTATTTTGTATATTTTTTATAAAAATAAATTTCTTGTTATACGTTGGTCTACCATTTTGTTTTATTATGCGCGGGATATGGGTATTTAAACGGAATAAACTTTTTTAGAGTGATAATAAAAAAGATTTAATTTTTTACTTAGCAATCGAACGCATAAACATTTTGTTGTATAAACAAAAAAAAATATATATATATATATCAGGAAATGTACACTTATTTATTTAGCATTTTTTCAGGTATGAAGGAAAATATAGCTGCTACAGATTCTTTTAATACAGATAATACAAAGGAAACTCCTGCTCATATACGAATCAGACGTTTACAATATGCAACTATGCTAAAGATGTTTTCAGATATTATGGAGGATTACAATGCATCATTATTAAGATATCATGATAAATGCTTACAACTTTTACAGCAACAGAGAATGTTAAGTGAGTTATATATAATACATATATATTTTCATTTTAAGAATAAAATATACTTAATTAATTATATTTCTATTCTAGTAAAGAAACATACAACATATGAGATAGATGAAACAGATAATATACAAGGAAATAGCATATTTGTGGATAATGTAAGTATTCATGATGTTATTTTACAAAGTATCTTCATATGTTGTTGTACAAGATATTTTAAATCTTATAAATCTATTGAATAATATAATCTCTGGAAATTCTTTTTTTCATAAATTTGTTATAAAATATTTATAAGTAGATCCTAGAAGATAGCAAAATCACCAAAGAGCAATTGTCTGCTATAGAAGTACGACATAATGAAGTTTTGAAATTGGAAAAATCTATTCATGAAATAAAAGATATGTTTACTGAAACAGCTTTTCTTATCGAAAAACAAGTAAGTAATAAGTAATAAATAATATTAAATACATATAAATGTTATATTGGATATCTTTATATATATATATCTCCTTTTTTCTTTTTTTTTTAATTATTTTTAATTTTTTTTTTTTTTTTTTTTTTTTTTTTTTCTTTTTTAGGGAGAGCAAATAAATAGTGTAGAATACTTTGCAAAAAATACTACAGATGATGTTGAGAGTGGTAAAAAATGCCTTAATAAAGCAGAAGAAAGAAGTCATAGATACAAAAAAGTATACATAAACATATTTTTTAATATATTAATAAAAGAATTCATTACTAAAATTTGTCACTTTTCCAGAGAAAGATAAAGATTGGCATTATCATTGGGATAATAATATTTGTTATTCTATTAATTATAGTATTTCTCAATTAATTTTTTTTATATTAACTTGCATTTTATCACATGTGTAAACCAAATATTCGTCAAATATTCTTATATATAAAGTTATATTCTATAAAGTTATATTCTATGAAGTTATATTCTATATAAAAAATAATATTCTAAACATAAAGACATAAATTTATACTTTAGAAGGCATAATTTTTGAAAAGTACATCACTAAGCCTTTTGAACTTGGCCTTAACTTATGATCTACAATGGTGCAGGTATAAAATATGTCTAATACTTCTGCATATTCTGGACCTATATCAATTGCAGGTAAAGGTGGCCGAACGCCTAACAATATTTGGAAAAATATTTTTTATTGTAATAATTAAAAATTTCATTAAAATATTTAAAAATTACTTACCATAATTTTTTTTTGTTTCTTCCTCGAACATAATACTATCATCCATAGTAAGATCATTGTCATCATTTGTTGTTGTTAAAGACATACATTTCTCTGATGTAGAAATATCCTCGATATCATCGCTAGAGTGATCAGAATTTACGAAAGGAGCAGATAAGGCTAACATTTCCCATATAACAAGACCATATGCCCATATATCACATTTGTTTGTTATAGGACCTTCCTCTATATAAAAAAAAAAAAAAAATAAAAAGATAGAAATATGTAAATATATTAATTCAATAAAATAATTACAAATATATTATTATATATATATATAAAATATATATATATATGGTTATAAATATAAAAATTAATATACCAAATAATACTTCTGGTGGATTCCAACATTCAGTTCCAACATACATAAAATTTTCTTGTGATTTATCCATTTCTAAAGTCTTTGTAAGTGGTACAGAAACTCCAAAGTCACAAAGTTTTACTTTTTTCAAATCTTTTGAAACTAGAACATTATAACTTTTAATATCTCCATGCAAAATATATATAATATGATGTAGATACTCTAAACCCTTTGCCATCTCATAACCAACATATAAAATATCTTTAGCTGCAAAAATGTCATCTCCTCTGTCGACTCTATCTTCAATCAAGTCTCCTATAAAAAAAAATGACAAAAAAAGTTAGAACTTTGACTTGACGAACATTTCATATCATCATAGTAACATATATACCTAAAGAAATATCCAGTTGTTCCATGGCAAGGCATGGTTCACCCTTGGAAGATAACGTAAATGCTCTGAAACCCACGATGTTTGGGTGATTTAATTTTTTCAATAAATCGGCTTCAGACCATAAGCGCTTGTCATATTCTGAATTCTTTGCAAGTTTACTATTTCTTTTTTTTATTGCCCAAGGTGATCTTGCAAAACCAACTTTTGGAGATCTTTCCAAACTAAGAATATGTACACCTAACATAACAGATTTTAAAATCCTTATTTATGAATATTTATTTAAATGCACATACCAGTTCCATGAGCTAATTGCTGTAAAAATGGAGAAGCTGGAATTTTAATTGGGGTTTGTAAATTGGAATCATCTGTAGGTCTACGGTTCCTTCTAACAGGTGTCTTGAATCCTTCCATCGTTAATAAGATATCCTATCTGTTGATAATGAATCTGTGAAGAATATAGAATAAGAAAACTCATATGACCGTTATTTGATTTTGAATTCATAGAGAATTGGCGTTGAACCATAACAGTATTACCAACATAAATATTCTATCATTTTATTTGTACAGAAATTGTAAAAATTAATTTTTAGATATATATTAACTAATCGATATCTTTATATCTCTTTAATGCCACTTTAAGCTCTTTATCTTTTTAATAATTCGAAGTATTATAAAATCATACTTCCTTTGTTTATTAACCAATAAGAATTATGATAAAAATGATAAACATGTATTATATAATAGGATCATTCGTAAAAATCAGCCTTTAAAATTGTCGCGTTAAATAGAAATATACATAGAGATATTACATGATAGTATATAACTATACTATATTTAATACAATATACAATAGTGATCTATTGGTAATAGAAATTCTCTAATGTTAAACTTCGTTTCTGAGTGAAGATCACTAGAAGGAAATCATTCTAACAGAACGGACTTCGAGTCATTGATTGTAGAACGACTTTATTATTTTGATAGTGCCTAAAAATATAAAATATTAAATAATATTGAAATGGCGTCCGAAGATGCTACTGGTACTTCTACAATTAAATATTATACACGTGCCGAAGTTGCAAAATATAATACAGCTACAAATTCATGGATAATTATTCATGATAAAGTGTATGATGTGACAAAATTTTTAAAACAGGTATATTAATATAATAAAAGCTTTTTAGAATATTTTTTTTTAATGTTTTTTTCTTTCCTTTTTTTTAATTTCTTTTACAATTTTTATTAAATCTTTACTGACATATATAAATTAAATGATTTAATTTCTTATATTATGTTTATTTATTTGTATTACAAATGTAAAATTGTAATATAAATTATATATGATCTTCTTTATTGAAGCATCCTGGTGGTGAAGAAGTTATTTTGGAACATGCTGGACGAGATGGAACAGAACCCTTTGAAGATATTGGTCATTCTAGTGATGCAAGAGAAATGATGGAACCATATAAAATAGGAGAATTAGTAGAAGTAAGTACAGTTTAATTAGAATTTAAATTAATATTTTTATTGTTGAAATATTTTATATAAAAATAATAAAATATCATTGTAATTATTGTAATTTTATAATTTTAATTTAGGAAGAAAGAACAAAAAGTGACGATAAGAAAGAACGGGACTGGGCAAATGGTGCTTCAAATGGAGACAGTTCTAGGTATGAATACACAATGTATTATATGTTCCTATATACATTTATGTTTCTATCATATCAGTTCAATTATTCTCTATTTGTTAAAAAAAAAAACATTGGTTTCATTTACGAACGGGTTGCTTTTTTTCATAATGCTTTATGCTATTAAAAATTTGTTATTATTCATACAATGTTTCTTGTTATTACTTATTTTTACTACATGCAAAAGTAATAGAGAAATGCAGTCTATTCCTGGCTTTAATCATGTAAGTGTTTGCGAGAAGCATGATTCCATTGATTATACCATTTGTGTTGTTCAAATAAATGAAATTAGGAAAATTTTTTTAAATATCACTATATATCTAAATAATAGTTGCTGCATGGTCATGTGATGATTGGCTATTGCAGTGGTTCTTGGAGATCCTGGCTGATTCCTGTTGTACTTGGGGTGCTAGCAACTCTTATCTACCGTTATTTCATCAGCGCACATTGAAACATTCCATAAGATTATTATCTTATTTTATAAACATATATATATATATACATATATATATACATAACGTGTTAAGAATTGATTGTTGTGTATAATTCGGCGTGAACAATCATTCTATGTTACACACTATTGTAATTATTTTTTATTGGAAGCTATGAAAAGCTAAACAATCAGATGGTCTAGCATTTATATCTAGAGAACATCAGACATAATATATCTGTATGTATATATGTGTATCAATTAGTACAGTATCTATGAAGCCAAAAATAAATTAATTTAATTTGCATGACTGTGGTCGGCTTCCTTAAAAAAAATAAAACATTTCCTTAGATACAAAAAGAAATTGATAGATCATTTACGATTTACATTGATATATCAATAAAGTGATCTATTTTTTATCATCGTTTTTTAAATGTTTTATTATTATAAGTTTATAAGTAATATGACATAAGAACTATGAAAGCTTAAATATTCTCGTCAAAAATAAATGTACAATATGTTACGATTAAGATATCTAAATTTCAAAGATGATACATAAATGTATATGAATTTTCTTAGAAATAAATAAATGTTGATATTTTTATTATATAAACGTTTTATAATGAAATAGTTCTACGTGATAACCTTTACCATATTATGCTTATAAATGACTAAGTTTATGTAATTATCTACAGTGTAAATAGCGTATGAAATATATGCGTATTAAAATTACTATTTAAAAGTATCGTAAATTTTATTATAATCCCCTTCCTTTCTTCGCGTTTACTAATTTGTAAGTTACTAATTTGTAATTTAAATAATTAAGAATTTAATTCTATTATACATCAAGGTGTCGATATAATATTACAAATTTATCAAAATTAATTCAGATCATTATATTCTTAACGTTGTACGCCATAGTATGGATATGCTTTATATACCTACAATTTGAAATTATCTAAATCGATCAAACGCGTTAGAAGTCACGTAATCCAATAAATTTTTATCACGTTTAATTAAATCGCCAATATAATTATAATCATTTTTACGGGGGACTTAAATAACTTATCGCTAATGATAACAAAACAAATATTTATCGCTGTTATCTCGATGATTCGAAAAAAGAAACGTTTATATCTACGATCGTTGGAATTTCCTCGAAATTATTTCGATCGAAGAAAATAAAATAAAAGAAGAAAAAAGAAAAAAAAAAGAACGAGGGATTAAACAGAGTGATGCAAACAAAATGTATGTAGTTCGTAGTTTCATGGCTACCCGTTAGAAAGAGTCCAATGACAGTGGATGGATATCGAGCGACTCGAAGCGCCGACGCCGGTTATTCGGTCTCTCTTGTCGTACGAATACTACTTTCCTCTCTGTCCTATTCGTGCACCGATCGCCCTTCATCGTTCCACCACATTGTTCTCATCCTCCTTCGTATTGCGAACGCCCAGTTGAGCGCGAAAGCTCGCTAGACGCGGATCGCATGTAATACGACGACGCAACGAAAATTAAATATTATTATCCTTAAACTAGAGGTTGAACTTCGACGAAGGCAGAAAGTTTGAAAGAAAGAGAAGTATAAAAAGAAAGAATTTATTTTCAAGATTATCACAAGAGCTCGATTTTCGAAGGGTAAAAGGGCTAGAGTTGAAAGAGATAGAGATAGAAAGAGAGAGCGAGCGAGCGAGCGAGCGAGCGAGAGAGAGAGAGAAAGAGAGCATAAGGTTTGTCAAGAAAAGATAGAAAGAGAAAGAGAGAGAGAGAAAGAGAGAGAGTATAAGGTTTGTCAAGAAGAGAGAAAGAGAGAGAAGGAGAGAGAGACAGAGAAAAAGAGGGAGAGAGAGATAGAGAGAAAATCGTGCTTCGCACAAATAGCAAGGGCCGCGCATTACTCGGAAGGGGCAACACAGTGTGAGATTTTAGAAGGCATTGACATCGGTAGCAAAGCGGGGGAGGCAAAAGACCAACTGGTTGCACCGAAAAGTCGGCGTAGTGTCATGAGAGGCGGTCTCACGGTCCGCCCTTTTAATCGGTCCCTCCTGAAGTCATGCATGTCGCGCCCTTCAAACGAGGTAAGAATAGACCCTTATGCCCGCCCACTTCTTTCGAGCTAACAGCTCTTACTTATAAAACTGTCTTACCACCCTCTTTGGTCTTTCGCGATGGTCAATGAGACATAAATTGATCTAGAAAAGATTCGCGCGCTTTTCGTCTTTTTAAATTGTATCAGATCATTCATCGAGCAATTAATTAATTAATCAATTAATTAAATTCTAAACTAAGATATTTCAAACTTCGAAAGGAAATTGAAATATCTTTCCCCGCGATTATTGCGATACTTACTCCCTCCTCATCCCCCACTCTCCCTTCCCTCCCCACTCTCTCTCTCCCCCCCACTCTTTATTTTTATCCCTCTTAAATATCTAAGAATATTTATCCGATGGATTTTTAATATTTACTTGTATCGTTTAAAGAATATCTATGATGTAATGTTTTAATGATGTAATCTTATTAGTTTTTATTCTAAGAAAGAAATTTATTAGCCGTTACGGAGAAATGATTTGATTTGGTCATCGGACATTTAAAACCACGTGTATGCCAAGATTACGTCGTAGTCTTTTCCTATTGGTTTGCCTTGGCGGGCTAATTATAATTGTCATAAGCAACATGCCGGGGAGCTATTGTTATTCCCTATGTAACGAGTATTTGAAAACAGGTTTAGAGGTTACGATTTCTTTATTACGAAAGTATTATTTCCCGTACTTATTATATTTTATGAAAACGTAAAACTCACCCAGAAGATCCTTTCCTAAGATTTGAATTTATAGAATGAACGTTTCATTTAATGGCGCGAAATTCAAATGTAATGGATGAAAAAAAATTTAATAAAGATTACGTCACATGATGATAAACGACGCATATGATGCATAAGTTTATCTTTTGAGTATTGATCGCTAATCGATCGGTGGAGTTAGCCCACTTATTCAATTCGATAAGACTGAAGCGTAAAAAAAAAAAAAAAAAAAAAGAAAAAAAAATATAAAGATAAAGTCTGAATCATGTGATAATGAGTCCGATAAAACTGTCGGTTCGATTCAATTAATGTTTTCAGAGAGAGGAAAAAAACAATTCTTTTTTTTTTCTCCTTAAGTACTGTACGAATATCCTCGTTAAATTTCTTTCATTTATTAGTCGAAGCTCGGTAGAGGTTATGTAATGTGTGTAAGCACTGTTCGCAAAAGCTTACGATGATTGCGTCATAGCGTGAAACCAGAAACTCCTCGTACTTCTGGAACATGAGCATAGCAGTGGCACGTTTCGAAAATATCCTCTTCGTTCTTTCTCTCTATCTTCTTCTCTTATTTATCTTTTTGCATACTCGGAATAGAGTAGGAGGTTCTCGGGTGACACTATGAGAGAGAGAGAGAGAAAGAGAGAGAGAGAGAGATATTTAACACCATCGTTCCGCCAATCAGAAATAGCGATAAAGAAATAATCGATAAACGACGATTAGATATCGTTTTTCACGAAGGAACGTCAACGAGTCCTTAAAAGCTTCTTCCGACGATAAATAGCACGTGAATTGTCTACAAATAGATCGGAGAAATCTTTGATGCATGTATATAAACTGATCGAAAAGGCTTCGACCTATCGTTTAAGCTGATTATTCTTTAGACGCGAATCTATACTGGTCATTCTCATCACAACCACATTCCGGCCTGTTTAAATGTTTCAACGAAGACTAACTTCACGTCTTACGTATTTATATTGCTTACGGTTTTAAGTGAGTCGCTTTTTATGTCACAATAATTATCGTGTGAATCTTTTCATTTCTTTCAATTATTGACAATCCTGTCTCAATGTCATTAGATGAAAGATTATGTAAACTGGTGGGGAGGGGGGGAATTGATGCAAAATCATATCCATTTTTCATGTATATACAAGTGGATATCATTTTTTTCCTGTTTCTTCTTCTTTTTTTTTTTTTCCTTCTGCGAAGCAGTTTTAAATATGCAAAGACAGTTCGCATTTTATTTCATTTCGTAACTATGTGCGAAGGAGGAAGCATTTCGAAGAATTCTAAAGAATAGATTATCACGTTATTATTATTATTATCATCAACTTTTGTTTTCTTTTTTCTTTTCTTTTTTTTTTTGTTTCTTTTCTTTTTTCTTCTACGTCTCATTTTAACCTTGCTCTACAAAGTACATTTTCTTTATGTCTACGCGACATTAGGTAGACCCTCACGAGCACTGAGAATTAACTGCAATTGATTCATTGATATGCTTTTGCGGCAATGAGTTTTAATGGGATTTAGAGATGCCTGTACGTCTTTTCATGCTCATATATTCGTTTCTTCTCTCCTGTTATAGCGATTATCATCATTTAACTCGTTGACGCTTCGTATTCGTATTAAGTTTTATCATTCAATTATCTGTCTTTATCATGTGACCGATCACGTTACCATGTATAGCACTTTTTCTTTTTTGAAAACGTTTACTGTCTTTTTTTTTGTTTTTTTATTTTTTTAATAAAAATTAAATGTAAATGCTGAATTGTCCAATAGTCCTTGTATTAAAGTGACTGTTTTGTTTCGTTTTTTTCTTTTTTTTTGTATTATTATTAAAATAAGTTTTTCATAACAAAAACTCATGATAATATTATTAGAAATTAGGATTATCTTTAATGCTCTAAAGAATGCAGAGAAGTATAGTTCTGGATTCTATTCCTAGTCTATTTCTTGTTTAAACTTAAATATAGAAGAATGTATATTTTCCCCTACGTTCGTTCATCAGGTAAGTTATTGAACAGAATGATGCGCTGAACGTTGTATAGTAAGTGCTTGTAGAATAAGTTTTTTTTATTCTGAGGATACGAAAAGCACGTAACCGATCATCATCTTTCTTTGTCAGTTTGTTTTGAATATACCAGGTATATATATATATATATATATATATATATATATATATATATATATATATATGTGATATTTTTTATTTTCCTCTGTACAATCGAATGAGCTATAAGAATTTTTATCGATTTTTAGAGCCTCCTATGTAATCTAGGATATCGCATTTTTTTTTTGCTCGGAGAATAATGAGATTGGTTAAACGATAAAAAATATCTATCATTATTAATAATTAATTCGGATGAAATTTAATCGACGTTATTACCTTTATACATATTTTGAAAAGATTTATATCGAAAGAAAAAAAAAAAAAAAAAACTTATTTAAAATTTTTCCATACGTCCACTTCAACGATAATGAAATCCTGACAAATATTGTGAACACATCGAAATATTTACCATGTTAGCAAATTCTTAAATATTGACTCTGTATTACTTGAAAGAGATGGTTTAAAGGTGATTGCTTACGTCATCACTCTCTTAAAAGCAACAGAAATGTATTTCGTTTGAAATGTGTCGGTGATAACATAACGCATATGTTCCGCGAATCACGACAAGACGTGCTATTTTTAAATTTTTATGCTTGGTATCTTTGAAGATTTTAATCGATGACAATAATAAAAATTTGAATTAGCGATTTATAATTTCATATGGAAATTTCATAAATAAAAAGAGAGAGAGAGAGAGAAAAAGAGAGAGAGAGAGAGAGAGAGAAATTTGAAAAAGAATGTCGAGTATCGTCGATTTCACTTCAACCAGGTGTCCTAATTGTGCTGTCAATTATAAATCTTAATATTGTGTCTTTGTTTTGAGCAAGACGACCTTTAAATGTGATCTCCGATAAAGAATTTACTTCGATAAATGATAGATCAATAAATCAATATCGTTAAACTTAGTTTGTTCACGAAAACATTTTTTTATATTAACATACATAATAGAAATTATACGGATAAAAATTATATGGGATCAAATATTCAAATTTATTAAAGATATAAACCTATATATTAAATATAAGAGTATCTCGTGATCATTGGTCGAAAAAGAAATCGAGATAGTCTTGCAAGCAAGGAATTTTGGCTGTCGGCCATATAAACTATAATGGTTACGACGTATATTCTATAACAATAAATATAATAACATATACCTTGTCACGTGCTGCACAAACGCAAATATACGCACCATTTCATTTAATGACGCGATTCCCTCGCTCCTTCACGGCTTTGAAGAAACGCTACCTCAGCCAGTCGGCAAAGGGATGCGACACAAAACGGCCACGTTCCTTGACGAGCACCTCCGAGTTTTGAGTAATTCATTATAAAAGCATAAATAATAATTATTCTTTTAATTTGATTATAATTATTGGATTAAATTTAATTAGAGATTCTAAATATATCTTTTATGAACTTATTTTATACAATAGTGTATCAATATCATTCGTGACACCTGTTAAAAAAGTTGTATTGTATTTGTCAATTGATATACTGGGAATCTTCTTAAACTAATATTTTGACGGGAAGAATTCATTCAATAAAGAATATATTGTCATTTGGTTCTCTTGATTTAATACACTGTATAAAGAGTATAATCGTATTTCAAGACCAGTGGTATAACGTCGTCGTAGAAATTATGCACGAAGTTTGATCACGTGGTTCATTCTCGGTGACTCTAAACTTAGGAAACGGTTTAGCTGGAATTCCCGTGTTTCGCTTAATACGTTATTTCCTGTAAAGAGGAATATCATCGGTAGAGTCTGCAATCTATAATATAATATTGTTATTTCCTATCGACTTTTATTGTCGTTTATACAGAATGAATCATGTAACTTGAATAATTAGTATTGATTGTATTACGATTTTAATTTTGGATAAAAAAAAATTGTTGAATGAATAAATGATATCATATTGTATTTATCATGTATATGAATATACATGATAAATATGGAATGGTTTAGAATTTAAAATGGTTCAAAATAAAGAAAAAAAAATTCAAAAAAAAAAAAAAAAAAAAAAAAAAAAAAAAAAAAAAAAAAAAAAAAAAAAAAAAAAAAATCGGTACTGATGAATAGTGAAAGAGAAAATAGAAGAGAAAGGGAAAGAAAAAAAAAACGAAAAAGAAAAATTGTGTATTCCAGCTACCGTTGGACATGACCCGCAGACGAACAACGGCAGTCAGGCACAGCAACAACAGCAACAACTTCAATGGTTGGGAAGCCCAGGTGAAACGACGCTCATATCACGGATTGCTCGGAGTAGCAACAGCAACGGTAGTGGCGGTAGTGGGTGGGAAGGGGTTAAATCATCGTCGCTACCGCAACATCAACAACAACAACAACAAAGGCGGAGGCGCCAAGAAGAGCAACAAGGCGAATCTGGAGGTGTGGGGGATGACGAAGACGGGGGTGGAGGGAGCGGAGGGGTGGAGGGGACGGACCCAGAGGCGAACCACGCTGTTCACCTCAAGAGACGGGTGGGACTCGTCAGTGGGGTGGCTTTAATCGTTGGCACCATGATCGGATCAGGGATATTCGTTTCGCCATCGGGCCTCCTAGTTCGAACCGGCAGCGTCGGAGTTAGCTTCTTCGTATGGACGGCCTGTGGGCTTTTGAGCTTGTGCGGTGCACTCGCTTATGCGGAGCTTGGCACGATGAACACCAGCAGCGGCGCAGAATACGCTTATTTCATGGACGCCTTTGGTGCACCACCGGCTTTCCTTTTCTCCTGGGTTTCTACCCTGGTATTGAAACCATCGCAAATGGCGATAATCTGTCTCTCCTTCGCCCAATACGTCGTTGAAGCTTTCGTAGCGGACTGCGATCCTCCCGACGAGGTGGTCAAGCTGGTCGCTCTCCTTGCGATCATTCTTATACTTCTGGTGAATTGTTACAGCGTTAATCTGGCAACCGGAGTACAAAATGCTTTCACCGCAGCGAAACTCATTGCTATACTTGTAGTTATCGTCGGCGGTGCGTACAAGTTGATACAGGGAAACACGCAACACCTGAAAGGAGCCTTAGATACCATGGACGGTAGTAACGTTAACTTCGGTAGACTCGCTACCGCTTTTTATACGGGTCTATGGGCCTACGACGGCTGGAATAATTTGAATTACGTTACGGAGGAAATCAAGGATCCATCGAAGAATCTACCAAGGTCTATTATGATTGGGATACCTCTTGTTACGCTTTGTTACGCGCTGATTAATATTTCTTATTTGGCGGTTATGTCGCCTTCGGAGATGATTGAAAGCGAGGCTGTTGCTGTGGTAAGATGAATGACCCATTTGTACCTCTTATTCTTTTTAATGATTTTTATTAATTATTTACAAATGTCATTCGTCTTTTTTCCCTCTTCAGACATTTGGGAATCGGATACTCGGCGTAATGGCATGGCTTATGCCTTTATCGGTTGCTATTAGTACTTTTGGTTCCGCCAATGGAACTCTTTTTGCGGCAGGTAGACTTTGTTTTGCTGCATCCAGAGAGGGACACTTGCTCGATTGCTTAAGTTATGTACATGTACGCCGTTTTACGCCTGCGCCAGGCCTTATATTTCATTCTATCGTTGCAGGTATAACGATACATCATAAAAATTAGTATTAAAAATATCAAGAACCAAATACAATCGCATATGCTAATCCACTTTGTACAGGTGCAATGGTCGTTTCTGGAAATATAGATTCCTTAATTGATTTCTTTTCCTTTACCGCTTGGATTTTCTATGGTGGATCAATGCTAGCTTTGTTGGTGATGCGAAGAACAAGACCAAATCATCCAAGACCTTACAAATGTCCCTTGATCATACCTGCACTTGTACTTGTAATCTCTGCGTACCTGATAGTGGCACCCATCATCGACAAGCCTCAAATCGAGTACTTATATGCAACCGGATTTATTTTCGCAGGCATGTTTGTTTATCTACCTTTTGTGAAATATGGTTACGTGCCGAAATTTATGGGTGAGTGAATGATTTTCTAATATAATTATATTTTTGTTTCTATATTTATAAGGATAAAATATTTCTGCCTAAACACTTTGACAAATAAATTATATGATTCTAATTGATATTAAAATTTTTGTCGTTAATTGTTATTTCAGAAGGAGTAAATGCTTTTCTTCAAATGTTATTAGAGGTGGCGCCAACCGCAGCTGCTTTCGATTGATTCCAATATAAAACATCGAAAATGATTTTTTAAAGATTTTATCATTCCACTGTGGCATATTTAAAATGTACATGTGAGAATATATTTTTAATGTACGTACAGAAACAAAAATACCGTTTTATCGATGCTCGAAGTTTGCTTGGATTGATCCAAGAACATACATAAAAATATTATTTTATTACTCGTTATTCTTCTTACATAATATACAATATATAGAGGACGTTGTTAGACATAGATGATTGATGTTATAATGACAACGATGAGTTAACAAAAGATATTTTAAATGTTTATGGTTATAAATCTACTTCTTATTTTTAACAAGTGCATCTTTGTGTACTTTTCCATACATTCCTAAAATACCCGAATTTTTCTTTTGTTTTGTCCTACTTTTATGTTTCATTAAACTTTTACTAAGTCCTGATATCGGTTCTTTGTTTTTGGCTGCTTCAGCTTCTTTTTTCCTTTCATCTTTCAAAACTTTATAATTTAAACTTTTATTTTTTGGAGGTTTTGCACCTAATCTTATTGCTAGTTCTACTTTTGCTTCTTTGGCCTTAGAACTTTCGAAACCGGATATACCAAACTTGATAACATCGTATCTAGCCTTTTTCATTTCTAATTCTTGTTGCTTCCTTCGATCTAGCTGCGAATTACCTTTTGCATCAGAAAACTCGTCCCTATTATCAGTCTCTACGTCTACTTCATCTTTTTTATCGATATCATTCGACGATTTCGATGCTTTCTTTGGAGCTATGTAAGTAGCCGAAAAAAAATCTTTAACTGCATCTTTTTTTACTTTCGAAACTTTGGTTGGTATAAAATCTTCCATTATTATTTATTAACAAGTTTTCTTGAAACAATAAATATAAGTTAAAAGCGCATCGTCTTTATTAACAATATACTTAAATTTTAGGTTATGTAAAAATAAACATGTACACACCTTTTAATGTAAAAGATAATTGATATTTCCTCTTAATTTCAGAAAAAGAAAACAAAAAACAAAAAATATATTCTATTTCAATTGTTATTAGAAAATATGCTTTATTACACAACGTACAAATCTCATATCAATATTATAAATACGATTGAAATAAACTGAAACAAATAAAGGTTATGTTGATTAAGGACAAGTGGCCGAACTTTGTACTAAATATTTGAACATCAGTGCCACCTAGTATCAAAAATATAACTATTAGATTGGAAACTATGAAACGGGCGTTGAATGAAAATAAAGCTAAACAAAAAAACCTCGTTTCATAGTTTCCGACCTAATACTTATATACAAATATACTACATAATATACAACCTAATACTTATATACAAATATATTATCTCAAGACATTTTAATTTATATCTTTTCTTATTTAAAAATTTTATTATTTTAATGTATATACAAAAAACATCATCATTTATAATTACATTATAAAGCCATAATGGCTCTTTTTAAGGCTTTTTGCTTATTTTTTCTAATTCTATTTCTTTGTCCTTTCTTTTGAGTAGCATCTTTAAATAGTTGCACACCTTCTTTTTGTTCTAGATTACGTTGTACGTACAACATGCAGTGTAAATTATATCCAACGATATCCTGAAAAAAATATTATCTTTGTATTTGCCAATTTGTTTAAAATTTGAATAATTTTGGATGAATATATTATTACCCTTAATGTAGATATTTTATCGAAGATGAGTGGTTTTATAGTTTCTAATGTCAATAATAGATTTTGATTTGACATAATGGGTCCATGATGAGCTTGTATTAAACAAATTGTTAATCTAGTTAATAATTCGGTGTGAAAATTACTTTTCAATAATCTGGGAAGCATTTCTAAAATTTCACAAGCAGCAGAATATGGGAGCAATAATAAAGTTTCTTCTAAATCACTAAAAAAAGAAAATATCCGATTTAATAGATCGCTATTAAAATTTTTAAATTTATTTATCGTAATTTTACCTTGCTCTAACGCGTTTTATAGTTTCTAAGAAAAATTCTTCACTTGTTCTACTATTATAAGCTTGCATCAATAGTGGCAATACAGGTAGAATGTTAGAATTTTTAACTTTAGATAATTCTTCATCATAAGCTTTTGATACTTCTAAACATTCGAGAATTAACTCTGCCTAAATAAAAAATAAATAGTTATAATATATAAACAATGAAAATGATACTACTATATTTTTAAGATATAATAAATTACTTACTCCTTTCTCACTGTTCACAGTTTTCCTTGAAGGTAATAATTGTTGCTTTTGTCCTTGTACAGCCGAAGTTTCTCCAGTAATCAATTCATTTTCTGCACGTTCTCTTTCTTCTTCTGCCTCATCTTCTAGTACCAAAGGTTCAGCAGTTTTTTCATATAATCTTACTACTTTATCTGATCCACAAGATATAACATAAACGCCATTTGGTGATATAGTACAATTCCAAGCTTCACCAGAGTGTCCCTAATTAATTATTTGTATAAATTTTCAATAATTTATATATATATATATTTATTTTCTAGTTTACATGTAAAACTTAATAATTTATTATATATTACTTGTAAAGTCACAATTTTTTGATATATGTCAGCATCCCATTGTTTAACTTTACCATCTTTGCCACAAGTAAAAATGTAATGAGTCCCAGGAACAAATGAAAGTCCTGTCACGGAATCATCATGCGCAAATATTGATTTATGACAATCTCCAAAGTCCAAACCCCAAATTTTAATATTACGATCAGTAGAACCTGTTGCTATGAGAGTAGAATCACTAGATATATCCATACATAAAACTGGTAGCTTATGTCCATAAAGAGATACGAAAAACTGGAAACAATTATGTAAGTATATCATTTTAATTAATATTATTGTCATTAATATTTTTGTTATTAATTACCTTGAACGTATCCAAAAAAAATATTTTCACGGTGGAATCCAATAAAGAAACTGCTACAAATCTATTATTAGGACTTATCCTAACGCACAATACACATTCCTCTAATTTAAGAGTTCTTGTATGTAGTACTGATAAAACTTTTGCTTTTATTTTACTATCAGGATCATGAATAAGTTCAAAATTCCAAAACTTTACTGTTTGATCACCACCACCACTTGCAATTCCTTTCTATATATAAAATTAATATCTAATTAAGTTATTTTTATCAATAAAGGCAAATGAATTCTTTTTTATTATTATTATTATTTACCAAATCAGGAAATAAAGTCACACTCCAAAGTTCTTTAGTATGAGCTGGTACTTCTTCTAAAATATCACCAGATGCAATGTCAATGATTAGCATTTTACCATCTTTTAATCCTACTATCAAATGTCGATCACCAGGTACAAAAGTGGCCGTTAAAGCATATCCACATTCTACAGTACGCAAACATGCCAAAGAAGGTCTAAAAAATATACAATAAATAAAATTAAATTAAATTAAAATATGTATAAAATGGTACTATATATAAAAATAAATAAATATATATATATATATATATGTAAATATAAAATATAGCACCTATTCCATAATTTAACAGAATCACCACTTGCTGTGGCAAATGCTAAATTATCAGAACTAAAGCAGACAACTCGAACATTGGTACGATGTCCATGAGCTGCTATAGAACGTAAACATTTTACTTCAGCATCTTTTTCTTCTATAAGTAAAGAATATAAATCAATAGAATTATTATCGATTCCAATACAAACCTATAACAAACGTATATCATGATTAGTAATTTCTTAAAATACTAAAGAAGAGTAGAGAGATAAGTTAAATAATTATATAATATTAATTATAAAACTTACCCTGAGTTCACCACCTTTACCCATAATCATATCTAATCCTTTAGCTTTATTTGAAACTTTAATAGAAGGCAAACGTTTGATTTCATCCTTTAAAGTTGGTATATTAAGAGAATTAGTATTTACATCATTCTTATTCCTATAGAAAAAAATATTTTTTGTTATTTTTAATTTAACACTTTAATATGATCATTTTTCAGTTTTTGAAAACAGACCTATTTGCTTTCTTCCTTTCTTTTTTCAGTCTTTTCGTTACTTTTTCTTTTACTTTACTGTCTTGTAAAAAATGAAATAATTCTATTGTATTGTCTACTCCATGACAACCAATTATTGTCTTTGATGGATCAACTTCAAGAGAGACAATTCTTCCTTTACTACTTCTTAAAATACTTCCAACTTTTCCACATCTCAATGGATATTTTTGCTACAAATTTGTATATTTAAATATTAAATTATATATTTATGTATAGATTCATTTATTTTTTATAAAAGAAAATTGTATAAGCATACCATATCTGTGGTTTCGTCCTCGTCAATATTCAAAGTACTTAAATTAATATCATATTCAGTATTTTGTGCATCAACAAAACAGATCTTCCATACATGTAATTCATTATCATTACATCCAGTAATTAGATATTGATCATTTTTTGCTAATGTAAGACTCCAGACCTTAATGTTGATAATAAAGGAAACATTTTTTTATTATATATTTATTACTGATATTTTAATTGATAATTTAATTAAAGTATAATCAATATATACCTCTGATCTGTGACCTACGAGAGTTCTGAAATTATGTTCTGTATCTAAATCCCAAAATTTTACTAATGTATCTTTACTGGCGCTGATAATTATATTATGTTCAGACATAAATACAATTTTAGTTATTACATCTTTGTGTCCTGCTAGCCGACATATCCCTGTTTCTGCTACTATGTCCCAAATTATTATATCTGTATCCTGAAAGAATAGAGAGCATCAATATTTATAAAAATAGAATACATGATATATAAATATGAATATAATTTATTTCTTCTTTTGTATTACCTTAGATCCAGATGCTAATCTGTGGCCTAAATTATCATATGATAAGGATGTAACTTCAGAACGATGCCCAACAAATATACTAACATTTTCTCCAGATTTAAGATCAAATATCTTAACAGTACCATCCGCATAACCAACAGCAATGTTTTCTTTATTTGGTGAAGCAGCTAAACGTGTAACAATTATTTTTTCTCCAGTTAAAACTTGTACTTTCTCACCTAATCTTAGATCCCAAATAATTACATGTTCGCATGCTCCCACTGCTACGAATCTACCCTCTTGTCCTTGTAACGTTACAAAAATCACATTGCACCGGGGACTTACAATTATATTTACATTACCAGATGGAACGTATCTTAAATATTGTTTTGTTAAGCCCATTTTTTCATTCATTTTGTATTTTTATATTATCAATACTGATCGTATATCAATTTAAGGTTTATGCGTCATATAATAAGTGTTATTTTATTTGAACGGATAATACATGCTTTATATTTTGAGGTTAGATGCACACGTGCTTCGAAACGAGACTATCTTAACAATGGTGGTTTCGTTTACGTCAAATATAAAATATATCGATTATTATAGATTATGAATTTTAAAATAAATATATAAATTAAAGGAACGATAATAATTAAATCATATATAATATGGTTTATACAAATTAGTCCAACTATAAATATAATCTAAATAAGAATTGGGAAAAATTTTTAAATAGTAATAGCAATAAAAGAAGTAGCTTATTAAAATGGTGGATACAGGACTTCCGTTTTGTATGAATAAAGAATATATAGGATACACTTTTATTAAAAATAATTATTTTATTACACAAATCAACATATTAACGTATTCATTATTAAAGTATTATAGTATTAAAAATAATATTACGTATATAGTTAAATAATTTAGATCAAGGAAGAAAGAAAAGGGCAAAATGAATAACACATAGATCTCTAATCACAATTCTTTTTATTTATTATAAATGGATTGTAAAAAGTACATAATATCTGTATATATCCGTATACCATTTACGAAATTTTGCAGAATTATAGATTAATACTAACGCAGATATATGATAAAAAAGCATTCATAACAATCAAATGATTTGGATAAATAATAGTGAACAAAAGGCACTGGCAAGAATAATTTGTTTTTAATTATTTACAATATATATTTTAACAAACATTTATTACAAAGCGGTATCTAATTTATATTTTAATCAATATATTTTTGGATGCATGATATGTGTTGCTTAAGATTAAAAATTATATAATTTATTGTTCAAATTATTGATTGATAAATTAATAAACATTTTATGAAGGCCAATAGACAATAATAGTATTTGTTTCTTTTTATGTATTCATTTAAAATCCCTTGACATTCATAAATATTTAAATGTTAATTTAATTTGGAAGTTCAATATATTTACATAAATTAACAAAGCTTAAAAATTGGAAATCATAATTCATTCTAAATTATATAATATATTTACATTCTATAAAATATTATTACTAATAAGTCTTGTACAGTCATTTCTAGTTTGGTAGATCAGTGATAATACTGTTCCAACTGAAATGGATTAAAATACTCTTTAATGCAAACAAAACATGAGAAAACAGTCTGATTACTATCTTTTGAAATGGCATGAGAAGTATGGAAAAAGCACACTTATTCCAGTTATTATTATCTGTCTATCATTGTCTACAATAGTATCGAATTTATTTGGTCAGTAAAAAGTAATATAGAGAAAAATCTATCTATCCACTATTTTGTGGACGTGATTCAAATATTTGTTCTCCAATATGTACAGGTTGAGCTAGTGTATTTTGAAACCACATCATCCAGTTACTAAGATAATGACCTCCTATTTGATTATCTGGATTATTCTTTATCTGTGCATTGTTTAATTCTTCAAAATTACGAACGGTTTGAAGTTCTGTAAAACCGCTGTTTACCGAATGATTTCCATGCATTCTTACCTCTCTCTTTCTAAGAGCATCTTTTACTAACCTTCGTCTGCGTTCCTCTTCAGTTTCTACTGCAGATCTTGTGAATCTTATTTCTCGGGCTCTTAAAGCATCCTTCCGTAATCTTTCTTTCCTTTCTTCCTCCGTTTCCTTTGCATATTGATTTAATCTTGCCTCCCTCCTTTTAGCAGATTCTCTATTTAATCTTTCTCTACGTTGTTCCGGTGATTCACTGGCATATAAAGAAAGACGTTTGATTCTTCTTCTTTCTGCTTCACGATCTAATCGTTTTCTTCTATCATCTGGCGTTTCGTTATACAATCTATATTGTCTCTTTCTTGCTGCCTCGGCATCAAGCCGTTTTCTTCTTTGTTCTGGCGTTTCGTAATACATTCTCATTTCTCGTCTTTTGGCAGCTTCTCTTGCAAGTCTTTGTACTCTTTGCTCCTCACTTTCATTTTCATACAATTTTTTTCGTTTTTCTCTCATGCATTCAGCTTTTTTCCTCAATCTTTCCTCGTAATCATTCAACGTAGAAGATTTTAATTTTGTTCTCTTTTTCGTTGTATTATATTTCTTTGTTTCTTCTTTCGTCAAATTACCACCGTGATCCAATGTTTGATCCTTACATATGGCTATGGGTGTTATTGTAGCTTCAATGTCAGTGGGAATTTGTACTTCTTGTTTATCATTCTTCAAAACCTTCAATCGTAAATTCGTATCACCATTTACATCGCACAACCATTCTGTCATATAGATTCCATCAGAATCAGGTTTATGACTTGATTGTTTATTTTCCTTTTTTATATCAAGACTCAAACTGTCTAAAAATTGATTTGACGTAGCGACAGTTGATATATTATAGTTTGTTTCTGTGTCCTCTGATTGGGATTCAAAAACTTCAGAAGACTGATTAATTTGTTTTTTGATCTGATCATTTGTAGTGTCTGAATCTAATGTATCCAGACAAATGGAGTCTGTTAAAATGCTACCAATATTACAAGCTTCGCTAGATTGCATAGCATCCGTATTAGAATTGTTTGATTCTATATTTTTTCTATTTTCCCAATTGTTATCATTATCAATATTAAACTCTCTTTGTTTATAATTTTTATCATAACCTTTGGTTTCTTTTATTTCGATAGAACAAAAATGCTGTGCTGCAGCAATAATTTCGACGTCATTAAATTCAGTTTCACATTCATCATTTTCTTCCTTGACATATACCGAAATAAAGTCAATAGGACGATTTGTTATCTGTACATCTGTTTCACTAATTTCCATATCCTAAATAAACAAGATATAATACACCTAATATTAAACAAACTCTCATTATATATATACATATACATGTATATAAATACACATATATATACATATATATATATATCTATGCGTGAAATCTTACAATATTATAAATCAATTATTATATTCTTATGAATATAATTGTGAATTATCCGTAATGGATAAAAAGAAAAATATTAATAACGATGAACTATTATAAAGCATAAACATTAAGAAATAATATTAATAATTGATGCATATTTCATTTGATATATAAAAAAAAAAAATAATTCGTTACCTGCTTATCGTCTGCTTGTAACAGCTGATTTCAGGATAGTCTTGAGATTAGAATGAAAAATTTCATTTTTATAATTTATAACGCTACTTCTTACATTTATGCAATTTTCAATTTTACCACCTATATATGTTAATGCTAATCGCATTGTGTGAATGTGGTTCCTTATCGCATTAAACTTTAATCAATAAATATTAGTTCAAATTCGTTTATATGCCGTACACACATTCAAGTCGTACTTCATTTCTGAAAATGGTAGGTGTACAACGTCACCTTGTGTATCATGTATTTCCATGCTTACACATGGCTATAGTAACGCGTATACTTGTAATGCTAGCATGATGTACTCGCAAGTAAAGTTAAATATCTATCACGTATGTGGTCTATCGTCTAACGTATAATAATAATTTCAGAAGTCTAATTTATTATATATGTTTTACCAGAGAATCGTGAAGTTTTCAATACGTAGATCGTATTTATTCCTCCAACATATGACGTTATTAATGACGTAACGATAAACTCTCTTTTAGAAAGCACTTGTGAACAGTTTTTAGAAGTAGGGAGTATATATCAGATTTTTAATAAAACTTTTTTTATGTGTAGGTAATCCTTCTTGCAGGTATCTGTTTATCGATTATTGGATATTCAGTGCCACCTAACGGAGAATCATACGAATTAATGTTAAAAAACAATAGTGACAATCGATAAATTATATCACAGAATTTTTCCAATTAATTTCTTATCATTTATATACATATTTACGATTTATAAATTAAATGGTTTTGATTTTTTAAAATTGCTCAAAATTTATCACTCGAGAAAATATATGATCTAATTCTTACGTATTATATCATATATCGTGTGCACATATATATACATATATATATATCTTTTCTCAGGTACGCATAAGCGAGCGTTACTTATTGAGAATGCGCCACTAAAATTAGTTTAGATATTTTCTCATCAGATGGCGAAAAATTCGATACTCGAAATATTACATCAAGTATTTCGAACTATGTATATCTAGGATTTGCACATATCGTATGTTTGAACTAATATTACTATATATAAAATTCATTTACATATAATCGAATTGCTAATTAATCGTAACACAAATTCTACATTAATAACTTTGTTTTCCTTATGTCCATATATCTAATTTCTTATCTATTAATTTAAACCTTTTTTAAAATTTATAAACATTAAAAATCATAATTAATCGAATGGAAGAAAATCAAATTCAAGATGGATTATACATATAATAAAAAGATTCGAAACAATTCGTAAAAGTTGCTTATTAATTTGTTATTTAAAATCAATGTTTTTTCTACCTATCTTTTTTCTTCTTCTTCCTCTTTTAAAAATAAACAAGAAAGAAAGAAAAAAAAAGGATATAATAAAAAGAAAGATATAATAAAAAAAGAAAAAAAGAAAAAAAGAAAAAAGAAAAAAAGATCAAAGCGTTTCCGTAATATATCGTAAGATAAATATGATTATTGATATTAAAAGCGATCGAGTGTGAAGGATTTCACGAGTGGAAGTCCCACGAAAAGCACAACGAGAAAGAAAGAATCCGGATCGTCGCGGAGGCACAACTTGATGTATGATAGCTTCAGAAATGGCTGTCGGCGCGAGAGCACGTTCCGATAAATCTCCCGGTTTTTTTTCAATCTTGGACGGTCTTGTCGTTCGCGTATAAACGTATCGTTTTCATAAATATTTATAATGATAGGGGAAGGGACGAGGACCAATTGGAACCGAAGTTTTACTACTCGTAGTGTTAGTGTAGCGTAACGTTGTCGTTGTCGATCGGAATCGTCACCAGTCCATCCACCATCGATGAACTCGAACTCTCTCATGAACTAAAAGTCTTTCCTTCACGATAATAAAGATATCCATTATATATCCGGTCGTGAGTTTGCCGAAGCGAATGTTTTCTTATATATCGATCTTCGTGTTTTCGTTTCTTCCCTTCTTGTCCTTCGACGATCACTCTCCCTTTACAATCTAACGAATACGAAACGGATGATCTTTAGTCTTTGAAACTCGCGCCGTCACGATTGTTTTTTCCATTTTTTTTTTTTTATTTTTTTTTCCTTTTCTTTTCTTTTTTTTCCTCGTATTTTTTTTTTTTTTCTTTTCAATATCCTTCCTTTTCCAAGATCCATCGATTTATTCTCTATGATTGACGCGATATCATCGTATACGTAATTCTTCTTCTTCTTCTTCTAAAACTTTTTTCTACTTTCATATCCAGAGATCCAAGAATTCCATCTTGGAATTTTAATTCAATGTAAATAAATACGTAAATTCATATTAAACGCATAAACAATATCGAGTAAGTTATTTAACGAATGAGGTGTAATAAATTGTTACGACTTGATACTGCAATAGGTTCTTTCTTTCTTTCCTTTTCTTTTGTTTTCTCCTCGCTTTCTTATTTCATTTTTCCTTTTCTTTTCTTTTTGTCTTTCAAACGTTATTTTCAGACTTTGGAATTCGAAACGTGCAATAATTATTCTACCGATGGCAGCCCGTTTACTCCTCAAAGGAATTTCGCTAATTTAATAGACAGAAGCAAGGAGAAAGACGTGTCATAAGAAGGATATATGTTATATACGGTAAGAGTTAACATGGAAACGACTGTCGGCATACAATCCGATTTGGTTCGCGGACTCACGACGAGCTATCATTGATGTCGATTACGATGCAGTCGATCGCCTCACCGAGAATGTTTTCTTATGCTGGGTGTCCCCGGACGACGAGGTCCATCCCCCTTTATTGGATTTAGTCTCTTAATGATTTTGTCAAGACAGAGGTAGAAGAACCTGCCAACGTTCTGTCTTATAAGCCGTCTCTGCATTTGGATTTGGCGCTATGATCATGGCTCGCTTAGTTGGCGCGGGAATCCTCGTAAATTATAAACATCTGCAAGATGCAATGAATCACCGCCGATAAATTTTCATTTTCCGTGTTCTCTGTTAACTTACAAGGAATCTTGAATGTAAACACTAGTAACGATTATCGAAACAAGATTTTATACATAGGTATATATATATATATATATATATATATATGTATGTATGTCTAAATGAATACGTTAAAATTCTTTCAATGTTATTATAAAGTCATTCATTAGATATTATTTAGATTTATTTAAATAATCTTTAAGATGTCCGTACTACGTTTATAATTTTTCTCTCTAGTTTTTACAATAGCTATAAATTCGTCTGTCTCGCAAAATACGAGTTTCACTCTTTTTTCGAATTCGAATGAAATTCTAATAGTTCCAAGAAGGACCGTCTTCGATCATACACCATTAATTATCAACACGATGCATAACGATTATCTTTTTCTTGATCCATGGACTGCCGAAAGCGTACGTTCGAGCCACGAGCGGTGGGATTCTGACCACTCTGACCGACGTCAACTCTAAATGGAAATGTCTTAATTATCAGAGCACGTAGTAACCGTGCGCGCGGGCGCGCGCGCGCGCCATGAGCAAAAACAAACCCCGTCGTTCGTCGTCCCGCTTCGCGATTATCGAACATCGACCGCAATGCGCCGTAAGATGAGAGAAACGAAGAAGGAGGACGGTAGAATGATCATCTCTGAATCGGACCTTACATTCGCATTCTCTTACTCCGAATTTGGGTTCCTCGAAATGATGGTTAAGAGAGATTAAACAATTTGCAAATTTATCTTATCCGAATGTATAAATGTTTAACAATATTTAGAAATTTATACGATATGATTCGTAATATGATTCATTATAGATTGATATTTAAATAATGAGATAATGAAAAATAACGACAACGAGATAATGAAATTTATAATGATAATTATAATGATTTATAATTTTAATAATTTATAATTTATAATGATAATCAAAGAAGAAAATGTTATTTAATGTTATTTATATGAAATTGAAATGATTAATCGTTAAAAATTAATGATAATATATCGTTACAATATATTATATTTTATTTTAGAAAATGATTAGAAAGATAAAATTTATATTTATATTTATACATTATTTATAGTAAATTAGGAAAATTATATGAAAATTAATTTTTGACAATGATTGAAAGTAACATTGCGATGGAAAAGGACAAAAAACTTTTACGCTTTATCCATTTCGCTTCGCATTTTTCTCGTTTTTTTTCTGAAGCTAAAATTTTATCGATGTTAACTATTAAAGCTATACTATCCCTTAATTACATTAAATCTTCAGCATTAATAGTAGTAGTAGTAGTAAGCTTAAATTTTTTCAAGCGTCTATATTAAAAATATATCACTTATAGTAGTTTAAAAAAATTCCGTATCAACTGTTATGAATTATATATACATACATATGTATATCATTATAATTAAATCAAAAAAGAGTATCTAAGTCGTAAGAATTTTAAGTTATTTTCGAAGACAAGAAAAAATTTGAGTCTGATGCGTTGTCTTTGTCTTTATAATCGCGTGCATGTCGCGACATTGGCTCATCTGAATTTCTAACAACGCTAATCTCGGTAGTTGGTAACTCAGTGATTAGAGGAGGCACCTAGCGTGAGGCAAAAGTGAGATTGAATAGAACGCGGGACAGGGGAACACTGTCGTGCCGTTGAAAAGAATTTTAAGAAAAGAAGTGTCGGACCTGATCGTCGCACGTCCTCACTTTTTGTTTTCCGCTTAAATTATTTACTTCCTTTTTTTGAGAGAGCCCTCAGCACGTTTTCTTTTATACCGTTTGCACTTTCTCACTGGGGCACAATGCCCATGATATTAGAAGGTAATAACAGCGGGTTTCTCGTCTCGTCTCGTCTTCTCTTGAACCAACCCCCGTTCTTCGTCACGATGAAGCTCTCTCTCTCTCTCTCCTTCTCTATGTTTGGTACATCCTATTCTCGTTTCTTCGACTTTGATCGCACGTTGTTCTTCTTTCTCTCCCTCCCCCTCTTCCTCCTTCTCTTCTTAGGCGATTCCTTTTTTTTTTATCCCTTTTTGAGCGTCTGGACTGCGGTTTCAGTCTCTTCTTCTTCTTCTTCTGTTGCTTTCTAAAAAGCTCTACCATGGTTGTTCAACCGATAATTTTCAATACGCACGAGCGCCGAATTTATATAATTTACGGTCCTCCACATGTGTATACCTATATTCTATTTAATTTAACGCCAGTGTTACATAAATCTTTATTATTATTATTATTATTCATTATGATTAGTGCATTGTCGTCATTGAATGAATTCATCATTGAATGAAATTATATGTTTAAATATAAAATTTCACGAAGATAAAAATATTCTAAGTTCTATTAAACATTGAAATAATTGATAAAAATTTATTATACAGATTTTAAATAAATAATTTATTTTCACTTCGTCAAATTTTCCTGAAAAAATATTTAAAAGATGATCATCGATTTAGATATAATTTACGATTACTAAATCTTAATATATTTGTCAAATTCGAATCTATCTTAATTCTATATAAATGAATTCGAAGTGTTTACAACGGGAAAGACGTGTTAGAGGTAAGATAATTATTTGTTTCGGGTGATCGTATAGCTCGAAATGCCTTCTCGA